AAGTTTTTTAGCCATTGTCTTCTCAAGTATTTTTTTCTGTCCTCTTTTTCTCTCCTCTCTGGAGAGAAAATTACACATATGTTGTTGTTGTTGTTGTTGTTAGATGCTATAGAATCCATTCTAATTCATAGTAACCCTATGTACAATAGAACAAAATGCTGCCCAGTCCTGCACCATCCTCACAATTGTTGTTATACTTGAGCCCATTGTTGATGTCCCTGTGCCAGTCCGTCTCACTTACTGACCCTCTGCTTTACCTAGCATGATGTCCTTCTCCAGGGACTGGTCCTTCCTGATAACATGTCCCAAGTATGAAAGAGGAAGTCTTGCCATCCTGGCTTCTAAGGAGCATTCTGGATGTACTTCTTCCAGCACACATATTAGGTCACTTGAAATTGTCCCAGAGTCTCACTGATGGCTATTTTCTTTCTTTTTTAAACTTTTTTGTTACTGAGTGTTTTCTCAGTGCTTCATTTAGACAGTTAATATTGCTGAGCCTTTAAAAATTCACTAATCTTTTCTTCTGCAATGTGTAACTTAACGTTGATCTCCTCCAGTGTATTTGTCTTCTCAGATATTGTAGAATTCATCTCCAGAAGTTTGATTTCAGGTTTTGAAATATCTTCCATGTCTCTAATTAATATGTGTAATCTTTCCTCCTGTTTTTTGAACATTGGGAATACCATTATAATAACTGTTCATGTTCTTGTTTGCTATTCTAACATCTGTGTCCATTCCGGGTTGTTTTTTGATAAATGCTGTTTTTCTTTATTAAAAAAAATTAATACTTTTTTTCTCTTAATTTTCTGCTGCTTTGTATGCCTGGCAATTTTTTATTGGATGATATATACTGTGAATTTCACCTTTTGAGTGCTGGATATTTTTATATTCCTTTAAATGTTCTTAGGGGGTCCTGATGTGGCACTGTAGGATAGATAGATACTGGACTGCTATTCTCAAGGTCACTAGATCACCAGGCACTTCTTGGAAACATTGCTGTGAGTCAGAACTGAATCAACGGTACTTAACATAAATGTTCTTGAGCTTTGTTCTGGAAGAGAGTTAGGTTACTTGGTAACAACTTGGTCCTTTTGGGTCTTGTTTTTATGATTTGTTAGCTGGAACCAAGTAGTGTTTAGTTTAGGGCTAATTATATCCCCCCCCCCCCCATTACTGAGTGATGACCATTCATAGTATTCTACATTGTGAGATTTCCCCGTCTTTATCCTCTGTCCCTGTGTGAACTTCTGATGCATTTCCCTCTTGTCCTTTTGGGTGATTCTCCTCAAACTCAGGTAGTTTCTTCATACACACACACACACACACACACACACACACACACCCCACTGTTGGGCTGGCTATACTCAAGGGGGCCTCTACAGAGCGCCAAGTCACCTCTCCAGTACTCTGCCCTGTGAGTTCTTGCTGCTCTGCTTTCTCTGGACGTTCTCTTCTGTCTCTTACCCTCACGGAGTTTGTCAGACTTCATCTAAGTGCCTCCTGCTTGCTGGGGCCTGAAGACTCTCTCAAGGCAATAAGATGGGGACATTTCAGGACTTGCATGACTCAGGGATCACTGTCCTTTGTTGCCTGGTGTCCATTGTTGAAAACCATTGTCTCCTATATTTATCCAGTGTTTTAAGTAGGGATAAATCTGGTCCCTGTTGGCCAGAAGCATTAGTCAACTATTTAATTTTAAATTGAGACATTTGTGGACAGAGCAACGCACATACCGAGTCAGATAGCTCTGAAGTGCCAAAAATTAACCCCTACCTAAAAGCTTTCACATTTTTGTTTTTAGAACAAATTTCTAAAATTTTGCATAAAAGCCAAAGAGCAATTGATATAATTTAGTTGCTTGATCTCATATTTCTTTGAGAGATGAAGAAATATATCCCTGCATGATTTATTTCTGTTCAAATGTTAAATTTTGAAATTTCCAAAATAATCTTTGACAAGAAAAAAATTCCTTTGGAAAGCATAATTTTAACTGATCATTTATGAGTTCTTTCCCTACCTGAAAAATTATTCTACAGGTAAAGTTTATCTTTTCTTTTAAACCTTGATGACTTCATTTTTACACAGTTTCTTGAAATCTTCCTATTGCTTATGAACCTTAGGGATTGTATCAGGCCTTTAAGCTTAGTTGCATTGTCAAGAGTTGTAGTAGATACTACTTAGGAAAGTGACTAATCTCTTACCTGTTTCATTATTGCACTGCCACTCTCAGGACCTTCCTAGAGTAAAGGCTTTCATTTATGTCATCGCAAATCAGCATTTCCATTGGTCTCAATTGGAGTCCTGCTGTGACACTGTAGAAGCAGCACTCAACCGCAGTGTCAGTTTGAACCACAAGGTCAGCAGTTCAAACCTACTATACACTCTTGAAAACCCTATACAGGGTCGTTATGAGTTGGAACTGACTCGATGGCACTTAACAACATCAACAACAATCTTTCATTGATAAGAAGGAATTTTCATTTTTCACTTAAGACATAAGAATTTTCAAGGATTTACAAGAAAACAATGTACAGGAATACTGTAATATTGTTTGTCATGGTAAAAAACTGAGGAAAAAGCTAAATATCCTTCTGTTTACTGTATGTCATGCCCATACAGTAGAATATTGTGTTTAAAGATAGATAGTTTTAATGTACTGATATGTAATAGTTTATAGACAAGTTAGGAGTTCTGGTGTGGAGCTGTGGGTTAATGTACCTGTTTGAGCCACATGGTTGGTAGTGCAAGCTCACCAGCTGCTCCTCAGAAACCCTATACAGGGTTGCTATGAGTCGGAACCAGCTCGATGGCACTCAACACTAACAACATAGACAGGTAAAATGGGCAGTGGTATGTAGATACACACAAGCTTAGTCTTTGCCTGAAATTAGATATAAGAAACTGGTAACTGTGGTTGCCCCTGGAGAAGAGAATTGAAATTTGGTTTGAATGGCAAGGTTGGCAGTTCAAACTTGCCAGCCACCACTCAGTAACCCTATCCAGGGTCACTATGAGTCAGAACTGACTCAACAGCACTTAACAGCAACAACAACAATGCCTGTGGTCGGTAAGACTTTGTCTTTCATACTTAGAATGTGTTGTCAGAAAGGACCAGTCCCTGGAGAAAAGCATCACCATCATGTGGATGGTGAGAGATAAAAAGGCAGACCCTCAATAAGATGGATTGACATAAGGACAGGAGGAATAACAGTTGTGAGGATGGCACAGGACTGGTCAGTGTTTCATTCTGATGTGCTTAGGGTCACTCAAAGTCCAAAATGACTCAGTGGCACCTAACAATAACAACATGCCTGTGGTTATAATGTCATTTGGGAGTAGGGTGTCTTTGTTACTAGGACAGGATTAGTGTAGCATGTATTTTAAATCAGTCTCTCTGTTTTGTTTTTATTGTGAATTGGGTGAAGATTTACAGAGCAAATCGATTTTCCATGCAGCAGTTCATGCACATTTTGCTTTATCTCAATGATTGTAATCTTCACACTGTAACATCACATTTTTCACTTGGTCCCTGTGTTTCCTGTTACTAATTCTCCTCCTCCTTTCTTAACCCTCCTGACCTTTGTCCTTGGGTAAATGCTGTCCTTTTCATCTCAGTGGCTGATTTTTTAAAAAGGTGTGCCTACCTTAATAAAGGAGTTATTGTTCCCCGTATCTACTTATCTAGGCAAAGTCCTGGTGTGGCACTGTAGGTTAATGTGCCGGACTGCAAAGTCGTTTTCAATCATAAGGTTGGGGGTTCAAGCTCACCAGTCACTCCTTGGAAACTATACAGGATGGCTATGGGTTGGAACTGACTTGACAGCACTTAACAACATCCACAGCAAGCAAGGTCAGCAGTTCAAATCTACCAGCTGCTCCATGAGAGAAAGATGAGACTTCTGCTCCTGTAAAGATTTACAGCCTCAGAAACCTTATACAGGGTCACTACAAGTCGGAATTGGTTCAGTGGCAGTGTGTTTAGTTTGGTTTTATTGTTTGGCTGGTGAGTTCATATCCAGACTCCAGTCTTTGTTTGACCAGTGTTGTTGTTGGTAAGTGCCAATGAGTTTGTTCCAACTCATAGAGATCCTGTTTAGGGTTTCTGAGCTTTAAATCTTCACAGGAGCAGAAAACCTCATCTTTCTCCCATGAAAGTGGCTGGTGAGCTCGAACCATGGACCTTGTGGTTTGCAATTCAGCGCTTAACCTTATGGAGTCACCATGCTTCCATTGGAGTAGTAAGCCTGGTCTGTTTTATGATTTTGTGTTTTGTTCCACATTTTTCCTGTACTAATATTGTGCTTCTTCTCAGAGCAGTTGGTAGTAGTAGCCAGGCACCTTCTAGTTCTTCTGGTCTCAGGGTCTTAGAGGCTGATGTTTGTGTGGTCCATGAGTTCACTGGACTAATTATTTCCATATGTCTTTGATTTTCTTCACTCTTCTTTCCTCCCACTGTTCTTCTTTTCTCCCAATAGGGAGAGACCAATGATTTCATCTTAGATAGTCACTCACAAGCTTTTAAGACCACAGTCACCACTGATTAGCGATGTAGAACATTGTCTTTGGAGACTATGTTATGCAGAGTGGCCTCGGTGTCCCCAGAGACTATGGTCCTAGCCTCTGAGACCCCATGAGTCTAAGTTAATCTCCCTTGAGATATAAAAGATTAAACAAGCAAATGAGAGAAGTGGAGGTGGGGGAAGAAAGATGCCAAGCAAGACACATGAAGTTTGCTGAGGAGCAGAAGCTCAAAGAAGACCTTCAGAGCCCACAGAGAGAAAAAGCCGTACCCTAGAACCAGCAACATTCTGAATTTGGACTTCTAGTCTTCTGAGAAAAAAATGACCATTTGTTGAAGCCAGCCACTTGTGCTCTTTCTGTTACAGCAGCACTGGAGAACTAGACAGCCTTGTGCATGTGTTACTTTTCAAACAAACCAATTTTTAGAAAAGAAGAAAAAGAAAACTTAACCTTCTTCATTTGACTTTTTTTTTTAATAGGAGTGATCGACACACGAATTGCCCTATCTGTCGCCTCCAGATGTCTAGTGCAAGTGAATCTTGGGTGGTGTCAGATGCACCGACTGAAGATGATATGGTTAAATATATCCTTAACATGGCTGATGAAGCAGGTCAGCCCCATCGGCCATGACCTTTGGATCGAAGGTGTTCTGTTGTTACTGTGGGCTTTCAACACTGGTCATGGAGGAAGAATGCAGGGACACTGTGGTACGGACACAGGAAAATTATTTTTCCCACCCTCTTATTTTTGCTATTCTGATAATTTGTCCCATTTCTTTTAATAAACTTTCCACGTCTTCCACTTATAGTAAACTAAAATTTGTTACTGTTTTAGACTATATTGTACTTTTTAAAATATGTTTTATATGGATTCAAACTAATTCCTGTGTGAATCCTTTGCCAAGGTAGCACTAACATTTCCAGAAGCTTCTGAAGTACTACTTGATTTTTTTTTAGGACAGGAGTGTTCTGGAATACTTTTATGTTCGAAAGATGTAGACATCCCAGAGAGAAAACTTTTTAAATGACTAAAAATGTAGAATTCATCAAAGTGCATGTTACTACTTAAAACTGGTCTTTGTGCTGGAATCTAAGGAGTATGCACACCCCCTTGTGGTTTATTATTGCTCCTGTATTTTTACTTGAAATAATCAAGAGTTATTTCACTAACTTTAGCACCTAGGTTTTGTCAGGTGAATTTGAGTGAGGACTATAAAATTGGGCCTGAACTTGCCTTGTGACTGGATTTCGGCTTAGGGGAAAAGAGGTTCTACTGCTTTTTTGAATCTTGGCTATTCTTGGAATGCTTTCCCACATCTGGAAAACGATTCGAAGTGGCTTTTGATAATACTCACACTTCCTGGAATTTCAGAAGGAAATTTTTCTTCATCACAAATTTTACATTTACTATTTCCAAATTACAATAAATCATTCAATAGTAGTCTATGGTGCTTTTATTTTCTTAAGTTAAAGACGTCTTTCTGAAGTTTAGATTTTAGATTAAGAAAGAAGAAAACAAGATATAATTTTTTTTAAGATATCAAATTTTAACCATATAAATAAAATGCCTCTGAAAATTAGGAGATAATTTTTCCTTTTTACTATTTCATTGTACTTCCTTTGAAAGTGGAAAATGTATGGTAATAATAGAATTATGCCTCCAGTAACACCTCAACCATTTTTCAAATGTTGTCTATAAAATTTTGCCTAGCAAATTTTTTTCTTTATATTAAACATTAACATTTCAGAATATAATGGAACTGACCTATCCTTTGAAGAGTATTTTAACATTCAAGGTAGGTATTCTGATCTATTATTGGTAAGTTACAAATACTGGTTTTCTGAGTACTAAAGTACACAATTTTAAGTGCTGCTTATTGATGACAGAATTTTTGGAGTCCTGGTGTGGCACTGGAGGATAAGCACTCGACCGCAAGCTTGGTTTGAACCTCAGGGTTGGGGTTCAAACTCACCAGCCACTCCTTGGAAACTCAATGCAGAGTCTCTATGAGTCAGAACCGACTCAACGGGATTTAACAACAACAATTTTAATAGGCATACAAATTACTCTTTTTCTAGGGGAAATGTCTATTGGAGGCTAACTTGATCCTGGTCACAGAATACTGTTGACTTAATCGTTTGACATTGATAATGGGGATAGTTAAGTACCAAATGGCTAAATACTCAAGATAGATGTTTATGGAAGCAGACTATTGGGGGCTTGATCAAGTCAACCTGGCAATGTGTGGCCTCTTGTTGTTAGATTTCTGCATTCAAAACTGAAGCTTTATCTGTGGCTTCACACTTATTTCAGCAGTGGAACCTTTTCTTCCCCCCCAAGTAAAAAACCCCCTACCTACATAAACATGTACATACACAGTCCCATTATATAAAAATCATTTTATTAATGTTTTATCATCCATTATATGGACTTTATATACTATAAATATTATAAAGTAAACCAGTTATAACACATTAGTGCACTGATGACTTCAAGTCTATTTGAATTTGATGAGAACACATCTGTATGGTAGGAGTTGTTTTTAAAGTTTTTGGTTTTTTTAAATTCAGGTCAGAATTGTAGAATCCTGAATCTCCTCCATGTATGACTAATAAGTTAGGGAACATATTTTGAAAAGTTTGGAATAGATGATTACTGGAGATTTCTTCCAGCTCTCAAAATTTTAAGTGCCCTTTTGGATTGGACTTGGCTAAATTTAATGGATGGCCTAATTTTTTAAATGTTTATGAAAATAAAGTTACTTTACAGAGTTTGGGATCTTTCCAGGTATAGCCAATGATTTTGTTCCCCAGAATCCTTCAGCTTTCAAGGAACTATTTAATAACTAACCCAGTGACTTGATATTGCTGAAACCTCTTTATTTTACAATAAGAACTCCAAGATACTGATCTACTGTGAAATATAAAATATTTTTCTTAGCCTTATCAAATAAATGAACACACAGTTCTGTGCTCACTCCATTAAACTTTAGAATGTGAATGTTAGGTAGATTCTTCTGTAATAACTAATCTTTTAAAAGCTGTAAATTTGTTGAAATGTATACTTTTTGTATTCTGTACAGCTTTGTCTTTTTAAATATGAAGTACTTAAATGCACTACTATGTTAAGAAATGTAATGTGTGCCTTCTAGGAGTTGTGAGATGGTCTTATGAACTCTATGGAATTTATTTTACAAGCTATAAGGTTTTTCTTATCCTAACTCATTAATAATGCATAGAGCTTTAGTCTGAGAAAATGAATTTGACTATGTACTGAATTTAGATATTACGAATAAGAGTATGTTTTATTCTTAGGACAAACTGATAAAACTGTGCAATAAATAATCTGTACCAAATAAATTTAAGAGAATTTTTTTTTTCTTATCACATAATTTCATACTCTTAGATACTAAATGTCTGTATTCCATAGAGAACTATTTATCTTATGTTCTGAAAGTTTTTGATGTTAGTGCTATTATTTTAAAATCCATGTCAACTTGGACTAATTTCTTTATGTCTAATGTAGACCTGGAGTCCTGGTATGGTGCTGTGGGTTAATGTGCCAGACTGCAAAGCCATTTGAACTGCAGGGTTGGCAGTTCAAGCTCACCAGCTACTTCTCAGAAACCCTATACAGGGTCGCTTTGGGTTGAATGTAACTCGTTGGCACTTCACAGCAACAATGTAGACCTGGGTAATCATTGTTGGGAATACTTTTGGTTCAGTAATTGTAAATTAAGGGTTGGATTCATTAAAAGGCAGTTTGAAGAATTTTCATATTAACTTTTTTAAAATTCCACAATTTACTTTGTCTATCCAGGAATAGGGAATGATTTGGAGACTAGGGAAGTCAACTGATTGACCACATTTATGATGAGCACCACAATAACCATGGAATATAAAGAACTGACAACAGACTTTAATTAGTTTTCATGTCTCTTTGCCCTGTTGAATAGTGAAAATAATTGATAAAATATTCCACTCTGTGGAGTATTTCTGAGACAAAAGGATGTAATCAGAGAAGTAGCTTAGTGCTGAAAAGGGAATAAGGTACATCATCACCATTATCATATATCTATCATACAGTTTAATAGCAAAAAGACACAGTATCAAAAGGTAGAAAAGCCTTCTTCGAGACTTTGATAATCTTGTAGCTGTTAAAGCTTACCCTGTCATTTTCTGTATTACTAATATTTATGTCTTACAGCTGAGGTATAAATGTTTCCAAGGAATTATGTTTGTCTGATTTGTGTTCCTTTTAATGTAGTTAATTGCACTCAGCATTCTTTATAACATGTATAGTTCAGGTAATGAATGTTTAGCTAAATCACCAGTATCTCCTCTTTAATTTTGTCTACAAAATAGTAAAAGGTAAATATTATTTCACTTACATAGCACTCGGAAACAAGAGAAAGCCAGGACGATGTGCTTTCAACATTGTTTTAATCCAAGGCTCAGGATGGGCCTTGGTAAATGCCAATCCTGGAGCCATGATTTGTTTTCATGAGTTAGAAAACAATGATGATTGTTTCAGCAATATAGTCTGAATTAACATAAAATGAGCTAAAGCCTTTTAGAATCAATAAACTCAAAAACTGCTCTTTTAGAATCCTGAGCCTTTGATTCCAACTGCAAACACAATGAAAGTTGGCATTCACTCACTTACATACAGCAGTGTCATGTAAGTACAAAGTGCTATTGAAAAAGAGGTCTGAGAAGCTGACTGATCGGATAAAATCCAACAAATGCTGGCTGGGCTGACTAAAATTATATCCAGGGAAGAGGAAATGATCATGTGTGACTTTGGTCATAAGGTATAACAGGACAAGCTTGATAAAAAGTTAGATAGCAACGCTTTACCTCTGGGTCTAGGAAGGTCAGTCGGAAAAGTTAGCATTTTTCTCGTGTTTGAGTCATGGTAAAAGATAAATTAGCAGTTTTTACTGCATTTTTATAATCCAATCTTTTAAAAAAATAGCTTTAAATAATATTAAATTGAAATCATTTCCATTTATTGAGCCACTGTCCTGACAGATTTTATTTAATAACTTAAAAAAAAATTACTGGTACAGAAAAATGACAATGACAAACTGTATAATACTTGCTACATTAGGGCAAATGTATACAAATGGAACTTTTCAAAACTGATGAAGTCTTAAGGTAAATGCTGGGTTTTCAATTTCATAATTAGCTGTAAGATAGCATATATGTTTGTCTAATAAAAAGACTAAGTTCTGTATGCTATGTTGACCAGTAGAGGGGACAAGCATTATAAGATTACAGGACAAGACAAACTAAATTCAAATAAGCATTTTCACAAGCAAAAATAGGATTCTTCTAATTTTATAATGACCAAAAAGGACTTCCCATTGACTGAATTTGCCCTCAGTAAGATGGAAAGCCCTTGAGCAGCTTGTTGAGAAATACATACCATTTAGGAGCACAAATACTTTAAACATTGCCAAAAAAATTCATTCAGTTACTCAACATTTATTGAGCACCTACTATGTACCAGGTACTAGTAACACAGATGAAGAATACATTAGTAAAGCTTAAATTTAGATTGGTCTTTAAAATGTACCAGGTTGGAGTGATTTTTAAAAATCAAACATTCTTGAGACTTCATGGAATAGTGGGGATGTGACACGATTAGGAGTAAGGAAGCTAGTTCTAGCCTCATTACTTTTCAGCTGTGTGACCTGAAGCAAATTTCACTTCTCTGGCCCTAACTTTTAATCAGTAAAACAAGCCTTGGGCTTCAGTTTATAGAATGTTAGAGTCAAAAGGAACAGAAATCACCTGTTACTGTTTGCCGTCTAGCACTGTCTGCCTCCTAGTACCTCTACAGGGCAGAGTGGAACTGCTCCATAAGGTTCCCTTGGCTGCACATCTTTACAGGAGTAGATTACCAGGTCTCTTTGCCCACAGAATGGCTGGTAGGTTCAGCAGCTAAGCTTTTCAAAGTTTTTCCCCAGGAGTCCTTAGTTGAAATGAAAATGTTGTCTAGAAGGCCCAGTCCAAGACTGATGAAAGCAAAGTCACTATGAAGTAAGGGCAGCACCCAGAAATTCCCTCCTGCCCTTCCAACCCTGGCATGGTCTGTGAGGGCTACTCACAGAACACCATTTGAACACCTCACATCTCGTCCAAAGCCTCACTTTAGATGAGGAAACTTTTGGCTTCCTCAATAGAGATGGGATCTTAATAAAACACTTTAAGAAATTCATTTTTTTAAAAAAAAAACACAAATTGTCAAAGAAATTTTCTGTTTTAATTTTCTCAAAATAGCCCCTTTATGAAAGGAGCTTTGAAATGGATTTTAAGGCAGGCAGGAAGTCAGAGGCTGAAATGAACCACTACCTACAAGCTTGCGGAGCCTGAAGAGGAGTAGGAATACAGTGGAATACCACAGTCCACATATCACCTGGCATTTGACCGTGGAAGGTCCTGGCCCCAACAATGCAAGCACTGGTGGTTTCAAAAGAAATATTTGGAAAACTAGGAACAAGTTCAGATAAGTGCCCAGCTCTCTGATCTCCAAGGAGTTATCATTTGTAACTCAGAAATGTTAACAGAATGTTACATCTTAAAGTGAACAGTGCAACCTAAATCACTAGTTTGCAAGTTCTTCAGAGGTATCCTCTCTATGGAAGAAAGTTCTATTTGGTGTCTTGGTCACTGTTAGTTACATCAGACTTGAAATTAAACCCAGCATTAGAATGCATGTCCAGTCCTGGTCCTATTAGGTCAGGACTGTGATCTCTTCTGATTTCATGGCATCGGACAAGAAGCTGAGCTCATTGCATAAGGTCTCATATCTGAAAGCCATCCGGATCTGAGCAACATTTGTCTTTCGAATGTCATTTCCTTCAGGTCCTTCTTTATAATAATTTTGTCCCAGAAACTTTTGTTTTTCCTATGGATCAATAAAAATACAAATGAAACAGTATATCTTAGATTAACTTTTTCTATCTATACAGGCAACCTTAACATTAGCGTGTAGGATAAGCACTGAACTGCAAGATCAGTCAGAAGTTAGCACCACCAGCTGCTCCTTGGAAACCCTATATAGGGTCACTATGAGTTGTAACTGTCTTGACAGCACTTCACAACATTAGCCAGAAAATCAGACTATGAGATCTTTACTCAGGACATCGTTCCATATTAAGCTCTTATTAAATTCCCCTGTTCATCTCCTTAAGGATGTCATGTCGCCTTGGCAACCGCATTCGTTACCGTCATTTGTGACTAAGCTTTCTTTCCTTGATCAGAAAGGAAAGATACGGGTTGCAAGAGCTATTGGGGATGAAGAAGGGAAGATAAATGGATGAAGACTCTAAGATGTCCCTCCTGAGAGTTGGTAAGGGGCATATAGTCAAGTGTTTCTGGGGCGGGCTATACCAAGGAACCACATCGACACAAAAAGAACCTTGAACATTCAGCTCTTCTCTGTGTCATCATCTAACAAGAACATCACCTGAGACAGCCTTCTTCCTGTGCCAGTGACATCACCCAGGGGAGGTACCCAGGAACCCAAGATACCATATAAACCAATGGTTCTCAACCCAGACTACATTAGAATCTTAGTGATCTAGTGTTGTAAAAGCAAATTATCACAAGTGGATGACTTTAACAAACAAAAATTGGTTCTAAGAAGTCTGAATTCAGACCACTGGCTCTAGGGGGAGGCTTTTTCTCTTGGCTCTGAGGAAGGTCCTTGTCTCATCAGCTTCTGCTTCCTGATTTCTAGGAGATTTCCATATGTTTGGCATCTGTCTTACCCCATCTCACTGTCTCTGCCTACTTGGTTAATCTCTTTCAAAAGAAAGTGACTCAGGACACACTCTACATTAACTTAACAAAGGCAACCCATTCCCACATGGGATAATAACCACAGCACACATGGAGGTTAGGATTTACAACACTTCATTTGGAGGGACATAATTCAATCCATAATACCTTGTTCAGTGCTGTCAAGTCTATTCCGACCCATAGCAACCCTATATAGGGTTAACAAGGAGCAGCTGGTGAGCTTGAACCACCGACCTTGCAGTTCAAACGACTTTGCAGTCTGGCGCATTAACCCAACAGCACCACACCAGGACTCCCCATAGTACCTAGGGAACTTTACAAAAATTACTTAGGCCTGGGTCCCATCCTTCTTGTTAAGTGCCATCAGGTCAGTTCTGACTCTAAGCAACCCTATAAAGGGTTTCTGAGGAGCAGCTGATGGTTTTGAACTGCCTACCTGGTGGTTCAAGCCAACCTTGAGGTTTAGTGTTTCCCTAACAATGCCACACCAGGACTCCTGGGTCCCACCCTTAGAGTTTTTAATTCCACTTAGGAGCTGTTCTTCTAGTCAAGAAGTACTGGTTGTCTCCTAAATGTCAGTGACTGTTTTAGGTCCTGAGGATATAATGCTGGACGAACCATCTCTGCCCTGAATACAGAGTATAATGTCAGTTGTTGTTAAGTGCCATCAAGTCTGTTCTGACTCATAGTGACCCAGTACAGGGTTCCCAAGGAGTGGCTGGTGTGTTTGAACCACTGACCTTCCAGTTAGCAGTCCTACTGTGCTGCACCAGGACTCCACAATGTCTGTGGTAGAGGTGTCAGTAGTAATAAAAACAGATTGAGAGGATAGAGTATGATGGGAAGAGTGGCTTGATGGCACTTTAACAACATCAGGAACAAAGAGGTGGCCTCTGAGTAAATCTGAGAAAGGTAATGGGGTCGCCATAGAAATTCAGGAGGCTCCCGAGGACAGATCCTCTCACAGAACATGAGTCATTGCAATAGAGACCCTGTTTGTTTAGTTTAGCACTGGCCCCCAGTGCCTAGAAAGTGCCTGGCACACCGTGAACATTCACTGTGTTTTGTTGACAGGATGGGAAGGAGGGGGCAGTACCTGATGTGAGAGGCCGCTCTGCAGCACGCTGTTTCTGGCAATCTCACACAGGTCACACGTGCTCAGCTTCCAGACTTGAGCTGCGATTGCATATTCTTCCATCAGTGCTTCCTAGATCCCTCCCCCAGAAGTAAATGCGTTAGATGGTAGAATATTCTGGCACACATAGCTAATTTTTCTTCAATAACCAGCACTTTGATGATCCAGCAGTTCTGTGTCTGTGAATGGAGTAAACTCAACAGCACACAGCATCATCATCTTTGCAGGAAATCTCAGGTTACCAAAGTGATAGAAACAAACCAACACCTACACTTTGTTGGCCTGCAGTGAGGCCTATGATGTCTGAAACCCTGAGCAGGGCACTGGGGGTGCCAGTCTCTGCCCTCCTGTGGCAGTCCCCTTTGTCAGGCATATATCTAGTATCTGCTCTGTAAGCTTACTTTTTTAAAAAAAATACACTATTTGCTTTCAGACTGTTCAAATATAAAAGTTACTATGAATAAAATGCCACAGGCAGATGGAACACCAATATGAGAATGAGAATTACCACAATACATGTAGTAAGATCCTTGTAGTATAAAGCCCAAAGGATTTGGGTTTAAGCTGTAGCCAGGCTGTATGTTCTGGGATGTGAAATGATGTGTTGTTGTTGAGTGCTGTAGAGTTGATTCTGACCCATAGCGACCCTGTATAAGATTCCCAAGGAGCAGCTGGTGAGTTTGAACCGCCAATCTTGCAGTTCAAATGGCTTTGCAGTCTGGTGCATTAACCCACAGTGCCACACCAGAACTCTGAAATGATGTGTAGTGATGACTAAGCCCTTCCCTCACTCTTTCCTGACACTATTGCTTCTGTATCCTGGAGCAGTGGTTCTCAACATGTGATCCAAGGGCGCATCAGGGTCCCCAAAACCTTTTACGGGGTCCACAGGTTTCCAACTATATATCTGTGCAAGGTTGGATTTTCTTCATATACTTTGATGAAAATGTGTATTATGACAGATTGCAAAATCAGATATGAGAATTAAATTTGCAAAAATGAAAAACAAGGCCACTTTTCTCGATAATTTTGTTTTGGAAAATATTTTCATTAAAAATTGCTAACTATATTAATATTTAATTTGATATGTTATTGTTATATTTTAATTTATTCAATAAATATTTTTTTAAATTTCTCAGTTATTTTCTAACACAGTAAATACCAATAAATGTCAACCACATAAATAAGAGTTCTTGGAGGGCCTCAAGTTTGAGTATAAAGGGGTTCTGAGATGAAAAGTTGAGCAAACCACTGTCCTAAAAAAGACTTCAGTGCTTCTTCTGTGCTTGCTAATCAGTGGCAGTCCTTATCAACAACATCAGAGTGCACTAGATACTTGTATGGCTAGTCCTCATGCATGACATCAACCTTCCTTCCTCTTTTGCCAGAAATCTAATGTGTAATAACAGTAATAACTGTAATAAGACAGTTTTATTAGTTTTTGTTTTTTTTTTTTAAACAACATTAGCTAACATTTGAATGCTTGCTGTATTCAGATGCTATATAAGGCCCTTTGATTCTGTATCTGAATGAGCCTGTACAATAAGGTAGAGATAGAGACAGTGTTATCTCCACTTTACAGAGAAGGAGGAAACAGAGAATAAATGATGTCACCAAGTTCACAGAGCTAAAAGTGTCAAAGAGGGAAAACAGAGAAGGACAAAGAAGTGAAATTGTGCCTTCAAGGGTTCAAGGATCCCAAAGCAGGAGTGGGGGTGGGGTTCTGGAAGGAATACTCACTGGTGGCTTACCTCTGTCTCACTGGGCTACCAGCCCACCCCAAAGCAGAAGTGACCGTCCACTTGGGTCTCTGCAGGGGGAAGACAGGCCAGAACTGATACCTGCTAGGGGTGTCATTGCCTCCCTCCCCCAACACCATCCTCACCTTCGTGTAGTGGAACTGCATGGGGTCATCGGTGGAGAGAGAAACGTGCAGTCCCTTGTGCAGGAATTCCCGCAGAGGGTTTTTAGAATACTCAAGGAACAGACTGTTGTTGCTAAGAGGAGACATGGCAATGGGGATCTGAGCAAGGTAGTAGAGATACTGCAGTACCGGACTCTGCAAAAGATCCACCAAATTCATGAGACAAGGCTCAGAGAAGGAGGGAGGGGAGAGGGAACGGGAAGGCGGGATGGAAGAAACATCCACCAATGGGAACCAGGGTCTGGGATCTGGGCAATGCCAGTGCAAGCTCTCAGCCAAGCCTGGGCCCACCGGCCTCCTTCCCACACTTGTGTGTTCCACTCACTCCTCTCTTGGGACAGCCTTCCTCCCCACTGCCTTAACTGGCTCACTCTTAGCTCTAGACTGGAGGCACTGGTCCTAGTTACACTGACCTCTCCTACTTATCCAGCTGCCCTCTCCCAGGCACCAGTGGTCAGTCCAAGAGGTGACCCCACTTTTGCTGTTGCAGTGCTTTGACCCAAACTTTCAGATTGAGAAAGTAAACACTCATCTCTTAGGGGGAGACCTGATGGAGCTAGAGTGCTTGACTGCTATCCACCTTCCTCTACAGAAATGTGGGACCAGGCCTGGGGAGCATTAGAAGCACACATGGTTCCTGAGGAAATAATCCAGAACACAGAGAAAGCTGAATGCAGAGTTCAGAGTAGCATTATTTAAAACTGGGTATAGAATATGTGTCTGACAACTGGAGACTGGTTAAATCAATTAGACACCATCCAAAGGAATGGGCTGTCTAGCCCACTGGGTCTTTAGGAGAAGAAGAGGTGTTGTACTGCAGCACAGAAAAATGCTTATAAAACAATGTTAAGAGGTCCCTGGGACCATCAAGGGAGAAGAGCAGAGCGCAGGACCCTTCCCAGAGATGGAGGCAGAGACGATGACATGGAGAGATGGAGCAGCTGGGGACTTTAGACCCAGAGAGGGAGAGCGACTGTGTGCTGCAGACTGGGGGGGGGGGGGGGGGGGGGGGGGGGGGGGGGGGGGCAAGCTTGTGGGGTATACCCTTTGGTTGTTTGATGAAGCATGGAGGGGATTGTAATCATGGCAATGAAACGATATACAATAGGATGAATATAAAGCTAATGTTCTCCCGTGTAAACTATCACATAATTCACAATAAAACAACAACAAAAAAAAACAATGTTAAGGGACAAAGCAAGAACCAAAATTCTTTGTTCAAAACCCATCACTGTCCAGTCTATTCTAACTCATAGTGACCCTAAGGGACAGAGCAGAACTGTCCCCTGGGGCTTCCAAGGCTGTTATCTTTACAGAAGCAGACTGTCACATCCATCTCCCACAGAGTGACTGGTGGATTCAAACTGTCAACCTTTCCGTTAGCAGCTTAGTGCTTTCATCACTGTGCCACCAAGGCTGCTTATAATAATAAGCATATTAAAAATATACAATGAAAACACTAAAAAGTAAAACCGGCTGTTTCTATTAAAGTCACAGCAATAAGGTTTTTCCCCCATTTTCCAAATTATAATGTGTTTGATTATATTAATTTCATAATTTAAAATGAAGCCAAGGTGACTAGTCAGAGGCCAGCCCAGAAAATGTCTTCTAGCATCACTGACAGAGTGTTTCCCAGGATCCTCAGGAGCCCAGCTGATCCCCCTTCTTCCAGGGGAGCCCAAAACAGGACAACAGACCTTGTAGGGGAGGCCCCAGAGAGGGGCCCAGCCATTACCTTCTTGAGGAGCAGCCCGTGGGAGATGTTGTCGGCAGTCAGGAAAGCAGACACCAGGTGGGTGATGGAGCCAGCCTCCCCACAGTGAGGTCTGAACAGGAAAGTGCTCAGGCCTCGTTCTCTGTAGAAAAAGGCAGGCCATGGGTCCACCCTGCCTGGGACCCCACTTGGGAGAGATAGGGATCCAGGCAGCTCAGAAACCATCATCCCAAAAATGGCAGAGGCCTAGGTCCAGAACTCCTCAGAACCAAGAACATCATCTCTTCATCACTGTGGCACAGAGATAGAGTCTAGTGGTAGGAACAGACCTTGCCCTCCCTTAACAACCCCCCCACCAACCCCCAGTCCTACTGCCAGACCTTGTAACCCAAGTCCGTAGAACTCGAGATTAGAAGAAGCCATCAAGCCAAACTTCGGGTATAAAAAGTGAAGTCATTTGTTCAGGTCAGTGGTAGAGTTAGAATCAGAACTCAATCTAGAAAAGCCCATCTTCCCAAGACTAACCCACCCCAACATCAGGCCAACTTCTTTCAATCCTGATCTCTTTCAAAGCCACCACACCCACAAATCAACATGGACTTGGCTGTTATGAGCCCAGCCCAAGGCCCAGCCAGGAGTAGGAGGGATGCCAGACTGGCAGGGAGGGGTGGCTCAGTGCCCTGCTGCACTGGACATCCAATTCCTGTCTATGGATGTCTTGGTGGAAGGCTGTCCACATAAGACCACTGGCATATTGGCTCTAAAAGGACAGATTCCGTCTGTTTTGTTCCCTCTGGTATAGGCAGCATCTAGAAGAATGCTGTCACAAAGCAAATGCAGTCCTACTTGTTGAATGAATGCATATGTGAACATTGTTGGAGTGTTTGGTACAATGAGCATGTATGTGTGCTGCTATGTTCTATGTAGGTGTAACGACTGTACATAAACATGTGTGTTTGGTGAGTATTTATATGAGACTGTATATGTGTGGTGTGCATCTGCATTGTAGAGAGGGAACATTCTGTATTGGTATGCATGTCATACTGGGCATATGTGTATGTATATGTACTGATACTAATATGTGCCTGTGTGTAGGATGCTGGGGAGTGCCCAGGTATGTGGACACATGGCCAGGTAGGTGTGCAGGGGCTGGACGCACCCACCTGCGGAGGTTGTTGAGCACCATGATGTTGGCATACATGTAGTACAAGTAGTAACTGTAAGGTGGGTTCTGCTCACTCGTCCAGATGTCAGGGCTGGGGCTCTTGTCCGAGAACATGTGGTCACTGTGCTTGGACTCATCATCCACGCTGTCGAACCCTGTCACCTGGGCAGGAGGAGGGATCCTGAGCATCAAGCCAAGGCAGAACAGGTCTCCCCAGGGCTTAGAGCGGAGCTGTCAAATAACTCTCTGGAACTGCCCTCACTTAGACACCTCAACTAGGGACCCTGTGGCCTGGCTGAGGCCACATTCCTCCCAGGGGTGGGGAGAGGGCACAACATACTCTCTGTTCCACCAAGCACCTGTGCGGAGTGAAGAGAGGGGCAGTGGGACAGTACGATCCGTACTTTGAGGGCTACCAAGCACCCAGCAGCCACAGTCAGCAGCAGCAGGGCCACACTGCTGCAAGGGGAAGGGGACAGCCCCTGCTTGAAGTACTTAGTACAACTGAGCTAACAGAATACTTTGAGGGAGGGATTGACCCCATTTTACAACTGAGTAAACCAAGGGTCAAGGCAATTAAGGACCTTGCCCAAGTGAGACAACCAAGCTCCGAGCCCAAGTGGGCTCAACGTCTGCACTCCTTTGGGTTGACGGTGCAAATACCCTAACGCATGTCCCAGGTGTGAAACCAGAAACCAGCCTGGATACCTCACAAAACAGGCCAAGGGGTGCCCCCTGCCAAGAGGACCCTTTAGAAGAAGATTGTGGTTCCCAGGAGGCAGCTTCTTTATGCCTCTAAATCCTCACTGGGGACTGTTCTCTATGGGTTAGAGGTACCTCAGGAAGCTCCCATCCTTCTGGCTCCCAGAGCCTTCTGATTGATTCCAGAGATCAGAAAACAAGGCACAGCCTCTCAGCCTACACACAGGGGCAGCTAACATAGCTCCCTCCTTTTCCTCAGGCACACAGGCACTTTGGGGAGGGGACTCTCAACACCAGGTGGGAGAGAGAAAGATTGGCCACCTCGCTCCATAACTAGGCGGAACTTGGAGACTCCCAGACCTGTGTCAGGTCTTCCGGCCTCTCCTGTTCCTACATGCACAGTAGGGGCCAGAGGAGCAAGGGACCATGAGGGTCTAGAGTCCCATATGTCACAGGAAAGAGTCAGGCTCCCTGCTATGACTCTGAGCATGCCCTGATGGGTCTGCAGGGCGGGGGGCTGTGCTCACTAGTCCCATGCTTCTCTTGAACTCTCGGTCCTGGTTCTTCCACCTTTGTCCTCAGCCTTCTCCTGAGCTTTGGGTCCAACTGATGCAGGACCTTTCTACCTTGGTCTCTGATGGGCCTTAAACAAAAAAATGACCAAACCCCAACACCCCCTCCAGCCCCACAAGCCTGTTCTTCTCCCCGTGTTGGCAGTGGCCTCTGAACAGTAACACATCCATCCACTCTCCTACAAAACCAACCCCCTAAGAGCATCCTCAGCTCTTCCTCCTTTCTCTCAATCCCACCACCCACCCCTTCTCATCACGCCCCTGCCCCACCCCAGCATCCCTGTGCTGCCTCAGGCTCAGGGGCACAGAGCAGTAAGCTACAACATGCCTCTTTCCTGACTTAGGCGGCACATGCTTTGCGGAAGTCTGCTTGGATTTGAATTCCAATTCTGCTACTTTTTTTGTGTGTGCACAAATGGGCTTGTTTGAAGATTAAATAATGCATGTGCCTCACACATGACAAACACATAAGTCTGCACATAATTATTAATGATGCCCAAGTGGTGATAAGAATAGCATAACTGTGTGACTTCAATGATACTCGATATTATGTCACCACAGTGTAATAAATGTGAGCTCTCAAGAGCCCTTGGTCCAAGCTCCCATCATCTCTCTCCATCGCTGGAACTGGCCCTCTGACACTCTTGCCCCTTCCCTCCACCTCTTTTTGTTCCAGGCCATTCTCCACATAACTGACCATAAGTTCCATGGTGTCCCTCAGTGCATTCAAGCCCTTTCCAGGCACCTGCCCTTCTGCATACTTAGGTTCAAATCAGGCCCCAGATCTCTGCACTTCTCCCTGCTTCCTTCCTTGTCAGAAATTGCCTCAACCAGGTATTGAGCTTACCTCCCACTGGCTGCATCCCTCCATTCTGGGCACCCAGTGGATGACCAGCTCCTTCCGCCTAATTCTCTCATTAAGTCTCTCGTCATCCCTTGTCTCCCACCCACTGGTAATCTAATATGGAAGAGAAATACATTTTTAAGGCTTGTTGAACTTAACCAAATAAGGTGTACGGAGCTTTGCTTGTAAGGATGTAAGAGTTGAAAGTCTGCATCTTTACAGAAGCCCCTGAGGCTGTTTCCTGGGTGCTGCCTGAGGCTGGATCCAGTCTTCTCAGCCCCACATGACAGGAACTGACACCTCAGCCTCTTGCCAGCAGGGGGTACATCTTGCCTCAACACTCGTTCCCCAGTGCAGTCCCTGAGAAGAAGGGGACACACCTCCCTGGACAAGGCTCCAAATTTTACGAATTCCATTTCCTAGGGCTGTTGTTGGTAAGTACCATGGAATCGACCCCATATAGTAGGTAACTTGTGGTGGTGGTGATGTCGTGGAGTCGGTTCCGACTGTAAATCTTTATGGGAGCAGAAAGCCTCATCTTTCTCCAGCAAATCAGCTGGTAGTTTCAAACTGCTGAACTTGAGGTTAGCAGCCTGATTCGTAACCACTACGCTACCAGAGGCAACCCCATATCTGAGGCCCACACAAACCCACCACTGCCATCAAGGCGATTCCAACTCATAGTGGACCTATCCAGGGTTTCCAAGACTGTACATCTTTATAGGAGCATCGTTCTCCCGCAGAGCGACTGGTAAGTTTGAAGCACCAACCTTGCAGTTAGGAGTCCAGTGCTCACCCTACAGCGCCACCAGGGCTGCAGGTGACAGAGTATAAGAAGAGAAGCCAGGGTGAGTTGATGAGAAAATGGCCCTTGCCCTCCCTCCCTTCGAGAGGACGTTCCTGGGGCACATGGCACTTACATATTTGAGGAAGAGGTGTAGCTCTCTGTGATCTTGAGGGTTGATTGTGGCCTCAAAAAGGGGTAGGAAGATGTTTTCCAGCATCTTCCCAAAGTTTGGCAGCAGCTTCTTTGACCTAAATATATCACTGGGGGACAGCGAAAACTCGCTTATGAGGCGGGTTCAGCAGCTCCCTTGGCCTGTCTATGGCCCCAGTTCCTTCCTCAGACACCCAGTTTAAACATGCAGCCTGGATAACCTTCTCTCCCTTCAGCGCCCAGGAAATTCCACACTACTAGACATTGGTTTGTAAACTCAATACCTACCATCAGAGAGCTTTCTCAAGCCAGAGCTATTCTGGAAGTGAGGACGTGGGATTCATACTGACCAAGTTTCTGAGAGATGGTTTATATTAGAGACCCAAATGCTGCCTCTCAACTCAGTTCTCCTGAGCCGCCTGCCCCGGCCAGCCCTGAGACAATGAGCCCCATACTGGCCAGTCAGCTGGAGAGGACAGTGGTGGTCAGAATGATACTGGGAGAGGGCAAGCCATCAAGTCACCTTATACCCTGGAGCTCACTCTGCCCACCCAATGAGAAGGTGGAGCAGTAGTTCCCCCCAGGGCTGTGCATATCAATATTCTCTGAAGAGGGAATTTCAGGGTCACAAGGCCATCTTTGCTAGCCACTCCTTGCTGTGGGAGAATCCCCGGGGAGGAGAGGTCTACCTGGCCCTAGAACAGGTAGCCCGTGCTGCATAGGCAGATAGCCTCAGAGGGCTAGGGCCACCTCACTTACTAGATCCTCGGCACCTGGATGATCCAGCGCATGTTGGGTGAGTAGACCTTGTGCTTGATGAACCAGCGGGCCAGGCTGGGCCACTCCTCAGGACTGCGGCCATAGATAGAGAGCCGCGGCTCGGAGTACTGGTACTTGCTCTCCTCCAGCTCCCGGGCCACCTCCTGGTACCAAGAAAAGCTTGGGTCAGTGCAAGAGTACCCCAGTGGCATGGGAGACCCACCCCAAGCTCTCTGTGACCAGCTGCTGCATCCTGCATCTCTCAGCCACCTGCTCCTGGGCTGGGAAGGCTTCACCCAAATCCCAGTGCTGCCATGTGACCACTTCCTGGGCCCTAGCCGAGGCAGCTTCCTAGGGAGAAAGGCCCATCACACTGCAGAGCCAGGCATCAGAAGCATCTCTATACTGAACTCTCCTGAGCCCATCCAAGTTCAGGCCACAGACAGGCAGCGAGCCTGGATGCAGCAAGCTGTGCCGGTTGTAAATAGCCTCCCTTCCTCTTTGCTGCAACCTGCACGCACAACGCACAGTGTGCAAATGCAGAGCTGTCGTGACCAGAGCGCTGGGTGTCTGAGCACCTCCACCTGTGCCTGAACTGGATGGTGGGTGGAGGGTCTGGGGAGGAGACAGGTGACCACACAGGGCCCCAACCATCTGAAGGTGTGTCCACCTCTGAGGAGGGCTTGGAGAAGCAGGAGGCACACTCACTTTGACCATTCGAGCAAAATACTCTCCTTCCAGGTAGTTTTCCGTTTTCAAATACAGGTCTCGCAGCTCACTGGCCCCCACAGGGTTGTACTTAGAGTTGAACTTGTCAAAACGATGGAATGTCTGTCGGCCCTAGAGAGAGGAGACCACCAATCAGATCAACACATGTTATGTACTCAGCACACATCTCTGCCTCTTCAAGTCTTTACAGACGCTTGTGGGCCACCATAAAGATGTTTTCTATGTCACTTCTTGCAGGAAGTCTTGGGAATTCCTGAGGGCCTGGGCCATGTGTCCTCACTCAGTTAGGTTTAGAGCCCTTTTGTGAGTCCCTCTGTGAAGGACACTTGAGGCCTCACGCTATGTTTGGAGCAAGGCTGACTTAGCAAACAGACAAAACAAAACCATTTAGCAATGAATATAGTGCAGTGCTTCCAAATTAGACTTGGCTAAGCACTTTTCCTCACATTACCTCATCTGGTGTTTTAATAACGTCATGGAGTCCATAAGGGGCATGGAAGTCATAATTTTATAAAAGAATATATAGAGAAGTTCCCATCTGAGGTAGCCCTGGGTGGACTCAAACTGCCAACCTTTTGGTTGGAAGCTAAAGGCACCACCCAGGGACTCCTCATCATTTGATAGGCAAGGAAACAAAACCTTAGGTGAGTTGCTGAAAGGCATTTGGATCTGATTCCAAGTCATACCCTCTTACCCCCTGCCCTGTGGGACTCCTGGTGTGGTGCTGTGGGTTAATGCACTAGAGACTGCAAGGTCGGTGGTTCAAGCTCACCAGCTACTCTTCAGAAACCCTATACAGGGTCGCTATGGGTCGGAACTGACTTAACAGCACTTAACAACAACAATATCTGCTCCCCTGCCTTGCTATTCTCTTGGGCCAGATCACTTGTAACAGGCTCCATGGCTAGAAAAGAAAGGCATGTTTACAAAGTTAGGCTCATTCCAAGCACAATCATGACTGCACTGGAGAGGACTGAAGACCCACTAAGAACTGCTTTCTGCTTGAGGTCCTGGGCAGAAGTGCACATACCGCATGGACGTCCAGCGAGTCCACAGTGAGGTCATAGGGGTCCATGTGCAGGCTGTCGAACACCTGCCGCAAGGTGATCTTCTTGCCCCACTTCTCGGCCACGGTCCTGTCAGGCTCCGTCTGGTACGTGTGCTTAATGAAGCGCAGCAAGTGCTTCTGGTTCATACAGGCGGCCGCGTGGATGTGTGTGTCCACCTGAAACACAGTGCCCAAACACAGTCCACAAACCGGGCCACCTCCTCTGCCAACAAATTCAAGACAGCCAATGACCACTATGGAGCTACAGAGCCTCAGCACCTAGGGGCCACAAACGCAGCCCCCACCAGTGCCTGAACTCCCCATTGCTCCTCTAGACTTTCCAACTGGTCTTCCTCCCTCTAGCCGTTGTGGCAGCACGAGATCCTTCTAAAATAACAAAGTAATCAGGGCATTCTCCTGTTAACAGATTATTCCGAGACCTTCAAAATAAAGCCAAACTCCTTCAGCTGCGTTGTTCTCTGCTCCAACCACAACAAACCACTTACAGCTGCTCACTGCACCGCACTACTCCACAGCTCATTTTACCCAGACACTTCCTCTGCCTGGAATGCCTCGTTTCTTCCCACCATCTCATCCACCTGGGAATCCTGTGACTGCCTTGACTGGGAAGCCAAATCTTGATCCCTTAAGCACAAATGACCACTATTTCCCTTACCCAGCCTGAAAGTCCAGCACAGACAGTCCCATTCCTTATCCATCTAACATTTTTCTGTCTGCTCCTCAAGGACAGGAACCATGTCCAATGTAGCTAAGTCTCAAGTGCCCATCTCAGAGCCTGGCACAAAGTATCTGTGGAATGAATAAATGGATGAATCAACAAATGGATATGTGTGGTAGGTTCCAAAAATTTTAATGATATCTGTATCGTCACATAGCCCTAACGGCCCATCAATGTCCCACAAAATCCTACTATTCCTATTGACCGCTCTTGGAACCCCAGGACATTCCCAAAGCAAACTCCCAAATGGGGGTAAATGAGCAAGGAAGGCATCAGAGACCAGTCATCATCACACATTTCTTTGGCTTGAATGGTTACAACTCATCCAAACCTCAGGGCACCCAAACCCAAAAAGCAGCAGCTTCACTGACCCTAAGTCAGGATGTGGGGCCCAAGGACAAAGACCTTAGAGAAAGTCCTAAAATCAGAAATACACAAGGAGCTTGGACTTCTCCCCACACTCCATAAAAAGGCAGTTCCCTAATGGAAGTCACCAGAAAGGAGCTCACCAGGGTCTCAGAATACCTTGTGGGATTTCTCAAGTACTATTCTGCATCTTGCATGGTTCTGTAATACCAAGTTGTCCTGGCTTTCCTCTTGCTCTTCTGGCCTACCCTCTTCAGGCTTTTTTTGAAGAGTCATCCTGAATACTAGCCCACTCAGTATTGAAATTTCCTTAGACCTGGCATGGATCCTCTTGTCCTCTCACACTCTATACTCATTCCAGAGGTGGTATTTCCAGGGCTTTAGTTACCCTGTGTATGCCAACACTCCTAAACTTATACTGCCAGCCAAGAACTCCAGAATTGTACATCCAACTACCTATTTGATATCTCCACTTGGATAACTCAAAATCACCTCAAATTTAATGGGTGAAAAGCTGATTTTTAATCTCTGGCCCCATTCCAAACCTGATAGCTTCCCAGGTTTACATGCTTCAGGAAATCATATGTCCTGCACTCAGCTGTTCAAGCTGGAAATCTAGGCGTCATCCTTGGCCTTCCCCTCTCCGTTCCCCAAAAGTCAGTCCAATCAATGTTGTTGTTAAATGCCACTGAGTCGGTTCTGACTCCTAGAGAGCCTGTATAGGGTTTCTGAGGAGCAGCTGGTGGGTGAACCACTGACCATATGGTCCAAACTGACCTTGTGGTCCAGTGATTTATCCTACAGCGCCACACCAGGACTCCAATCAATACCACCTTCCAAACAGATCTCAAATCCATCCAATGCTTTTCAACCTGACTGCTGCCACAAGTCTAACCCTTCAGCTCTAATTCCTAAATCATCACAAGAACTTCCTTACTGGCCTTGCCACTGTTTTCTCTTGCTCTGGTCTAATAGATTCTTCACACACAGAAGTTAGAATGGATTATTTTTTTAATATATATAACTTTATTGTGTTACTAAATACTCCTAAAATGAGAGTCTTCCTATCCCCTAGACCTCTCGTCCCCATTCTCCCATTTCTCACTGTGCTCCACTCCCAGAACGTCTTTCAGTTGCTTGAATGTGCCACAGCTTCCCTTCAGCTACTAGGCCTGGAGAAATGGAGCCCCGGCTAAACTGACAGATGACCTAAAGTGAGCATTTGACTTCCTTACCATTAGTCTGAGAGACCTAAAAGAGGTGCCTTGTGATGGTAACAGCAACCTCACAGGCCATGATATTGCCAGCTGCCAGACTGCACTCTGGAGTTACTGCTGCCGCCAACTGGGCACTCATTCAGGGCTGGGGGAGGAGGCAGGCTGACCTCAGGCCAGGGAATGCTGTTCATGGCTGGCCAGCCATCTCCAAGTCCTGCCAAGCCCGATATCCGACCTACAGCCCGTTTCACTGAGCACATCATTCACTCATCAGGGTTTTAACCTGCTACTCCTACCAAAAAGTCAGGCCACTGCTGAACATCGGTAGTTGAAACCATTCAAAGCACCAAAAACTAAAACATCAGGCAAAGCACCAAGGTTCAGGTACCTCAGGTACGGGGCTGGACTCCTGGAGACACCAAACAAGGTCAACCTGGCCTAGTCTTGCTGGACACAAATTGGCTCAACTGCTTTAACGTGACTCCGCACACTTTGAGCCTCTGGTCATGTCTTCCAGCTTACCAGTAAGAAACACGGCTCAACCTGTCCTTACCTCCATGAGTCACAAACTGAAGGACAAAAACAACTAGCTACCCCAGGAAGCATCCAATCCAAATTTCAGAACCCCAAAGGTGACTATAAAGAGGCTGTCGTGAGATGCCAATGCTTTCAAATCACCAGAAGATCCAACTTAATCCCCTGTTTTCACCTAAGATCCATGTCTAAACAGTTTCCAAAGAGGGATGGCCAATGCCTGGCACCTAAGCCAACACTGGCCCTATCCATACCGAGGGCAGGCATCAATAATCTTAGATTGCTCTTTTAACTAAGACTTCAGGATTAGCCTCAGGGAGCCTCTCCCAATAAATCAAGTTCGGCCAAGAAGATGAAACTGATTTGCTGTCACTGGTAGGACACTTAAAGCAAAGTGGGAAGTATCTAGACCTACACAAGCCCGGTGTGGCGCTGCAGGATAATACACTGGACCGCAAGGTCTGTTTGAACTACAAGATTGGTGGTTCAGACTCACCAGCCACTCCTCGGAAACCACTGTGAGCCGGAGCCAACTCAGCAGCATTTAATAACAACCCCCAAGTGGGCCTTAAGGTGCATAACCCATCACCTGCTATGATGATGCAGACAGTTCAACAAGCACCAACCACACAGACCATGCCACAGCTCCTATCCTCAAAGCACAGCACTAGCTTGCCCAGTGGCACTGGCAGTGACCTTGGACACATTGAGGCAGCCATGCCAGCCCATCCAGGATGTTAGGAAGCCAGCTCTCCCACCACAGGGTAAATGAAGCAGCCAGCACCCAGGAGGCAGACCTCCTCCTTAACCAGGAGAGGCAGGTGCAGGACTGGCTGAGAACAGATCCAGGACCATGTTTATGGGCTGGTGGAGGGGCCAGAGGACACCGGATGTCTGTACAGAAAGTGCATGTCCTCCTGGAGTGGCAGTGAAGTCTAAGCAGGGGCATGATACGGCACCAGAATCGCCCATCAGGATTTCTGCCACACCCTGGCCAGAGAGCAGATGGTTGATCCAGACACACCTGCTGGGCTCCCACCTGAGTCCCAAGCAGAGGGGAGGTGGGAATCAGAGCTGCACAGAAAGCAGTCAGCCACGTAGGGAGATGGGGCTGCACAAGTCTAGGGAAGGACTTTCCTGGGACATGTGCTGGGCATACCTGAAGCATTCTGGGCAAGGCTGAGAGGAGGGTACATAGTGACTGGGCGCCCACCTGACTGAACACCTAAAGCTCACCGAGAAGAAACAAATGGTGCTTGAAGGTTAAAATCCCAGGCTGCCCAGGTAGGCATGGTTGTTGTTAAGTGCCTGGAAATTCCCAGGACACTTCCCCAGGCCTCTCATAGCCCATGAACTAAAGCCAAACGCTCATTTATTTCGTAAGGCTCTTGATCCCATGCATCCAAGTGGGAGTCCATTCCATACCCGCTGGTACTCAACATAGGTGAGGGCCCCCAGAGCGGGCTTCCTTGTAGGTTGTTGAGTGCTTCTGTCCAGGAGCTCAGGGAGGCCTGAGCTGGGCTTTACCAGTTGGTCACTTGCCCTTACCAAAAGCTGAGCCCAAGGAGGGGTGGTCCTCAAGTGGTCCCAGCTGGCACAGAGTCCCATATAGAGATGATAGTCCCTACCGTGCCAGACAAAACCTCATCCCCACCCTTCGTCTGCTATATTCTCCCATGCCCCAGTCTACCCGCTGCTTCTCTGAGACACCCATGGGCCCAGAATCTCCACAACCCTCTGAATCCCCACTCTGAGACTCTACCTCTACACTGTCCCCTAGCCCATCCTGAGCTCAGCCACACCGCGCTGCATACAGGCGCCAGTCTAGTTTCTCCTGGTCTCTCTCTCTCCCGCCTGATCTTTACTATAGTGTTCCCACTGCCTCCCTCTGTCTAGCTAACCCTTCCTCACTCTTAAGTCAGCTCAGTCTGACCTCTTCCTGGCAACCACTGGGTCATAATACTTATCACACAAATAGTAATAGGCTGGGAACTTCTGGTCAACAGGAAGTGCCTCTTGTTCACCACTAAATGCCAATGTTAGCACTGACCCCAGCACATGGTAGCCTGGGAGTAAAGGAGATGGAAGAGCACAGGAAAGCTGGAGGTCGCATCCATTGACCATACACGCTTGTCCCAGTGGGTTGATGGTGCCATGAGTCCAGACAAAAAAGGGGCAGAGATAAAGCACTTCAGATCCTAAAAGAAGCTAAACCACAAGTCCCAAGTTCAAAGTGGCCTTAAAACTTTTTCTCTCCATGCTGAATCCCCTATCTTAAGAAGAACCTGGCTTCAACTTTCATCACTAGTTAATAGGCCCTATTTCCCAAGGAAGAGGGCACACACACTAGCATAAACAATATGGACTATGGTTCCCATTAAGAGTGACAGCCAGTACTTTCTGAGCCACTGCCAGAGACACAGGAATGCATCTCACCTATATCCCTTCTGCACAAAGCATGGCACCTCCCTCAAGTCTGACTTATCACAAGGGACTAGTCTCCCACCTCTGACGACTCTGGACATCAGCCTGGCAGGGCTGACTCTGAATATGGGCCCACTAACGCACCTTTCTCACATTATAGAAGTCTCGGTGGGGGTTACTCTTCAATTCTTTGAATTCGGACATTTCATTTAACATCTCGTGAAGGCTGAACTTGGATTCCAAAAAGTTCAGTCGCCGGTGACAATATGTTTTCCTGCAGGTTGAGGGAGGGGGGAAAACCACAGGTGAGGAGAAGTTGCAATCAAGCCCTCCGGTTTGGGGACTTCCAGCATCTGTAGTGACAGACCTTGTAGGGGAAGGGCCAGGACTCAAGCAGGATGGGCCAGGATTGAGGAAAAGGATCCTAGCTTTCTACAGACTCACTGATTGCAGATCTAAGCGCTGTAAACTAAGTACCAAAAGATGGAGCAGTGGAGACCAGACTTTTGGAACCACTTCTTCCACTTCTAGCTTTATGTGTTTAGGCTTCTCATGAATAAATATGGCAATGGTAACACCCAAGGCTGAAGTAAGGATTAAACTGGTTTCTGTTCATAATGGATGTTCAGTAAGTCTCCCTCCTCCCTCCCTTCTTTATTTCCCACTGTCTATCCTCAAAGGAGCTCTGGTAGCGTAGTGGTTACGAATCGGGCTGCGAACCTTAAGGTCAGCGGTTCGAAACTACCAGCTGCTCCGCGGGAGAAAGATGAGGCTTTCTACTCCCGTAAAGATTTACACCCTCGGAAACCCTGTACAGGGTCGCTATGGGTCGGACCCGACTCGATGGCACTTAACAACAACAACAACATCCTCAAACACAGCCAGTGTCTGTTGAGTCCATTCTAACACATGTGTGTCAGAGGAGAACTATACTCCAGACGGTTTTCAATGGCTGATTTTTCAAAAACAGATCTCCTGACCTTTCTTTGGAGGAGTCTCTGGGTGGACTCAAACCTCCAACCGTTTGGTTAGCAGTAGAGCACATTAACAATTTGCACCACCCAGAGATCCCATCCACCCTCAACCTACTTTATTTCCTTGAAAGGAGTTTCATTTCTGCCCAGATCAATAATACAGTCAAACCATAAGACATGACTTGCCCATGTTGGAGGGAAGGGGTAGCCCCCTCCTGACAAATGGCCACCCCAAATTCCAAGATCTAAGGATGTATCATCTTGGATAAGAGGAGGATGTTTTACATTCTAGGCTGACTAGGAATGTGGGGGGTGTTCGTTACTAGGACAGAACTCTGTAAAGACCAACGGCCCCAGAGTCTCAGGAATTCCAGTGCAGGGAGAAGTTTTCCTGCGGGTGCGGGTGTGGGTGCTCACTACTGATGGTGGCCAGCTTCCCAGGTGTCTGACCACACCCCTACATCTGCACCACAGGGAACCTTCAACCGCAGCCCTCTTCCCTGTGCCCCTGAAGCAGCTGCTCCCTTCATGTTCAATCACCTGGACTTTGGCAAGTATAAACAGTGGCTGCTGACCCTGCTAACAGCACCATCACCTGCCTCAGAGAGGGACGCCAGGGAGTTTCAGAATCAGGACATGAAGGCCATTTCACCAGTCTCTCTCCTGGGCTAGACTAGACAGCCACTGCTCCAACATCTCCTACACCTCCTGGGATGGCCAGGTTCCTTCATCTCCCCCTCCCTGAAAGCTCCTCCTTATATTAGCTGAGAGTCTCCCAGGAACTGGCCTGTCCTCTACCAGCTCCTCATTTTACTCTGCAATCAGTGAGGATAAGACCCAGATGCCCAACTCCCCTCAGAGCCCACTCTGCCCCTGGGAGACAGGCATTACATCTATTCCAAACTAAACCCAAAAGGCAGGAACAAGAGAAAGCTCTGACCCTCTCTCTCTCCCCCAGTTACCAGGTGCTATGGAGTCAATGCTGACTCACGGCGGCCCCACGTGTGTCAGAGTGGAACTGTGCTCCATAGGTGTTCCGTGACTGATTTCTCAGATGTACATTGCCAGGTCTTTCTTGTACCTTAGGTGGACTTAAGCGGCCAATCTTTCAGTTAGCAGCAGAGCACATTAACCACTGCACTGCTCATGACTCCTCTCCCTCCCCACGGTCTCACTTCTGCTGGACGTTCTCAGCAGTGCTGCTCCACCACTCTGAGGCTCTCAGGGTCAGGGAATGCTGACCAGCCTCAGTGCTCCCCAAGAAAGAGAGCGTCCACATTCAGGAAGACAGCGGCCTGCCAGATTATCTCAAGCCAAGCACACAAAGCAACATGGAGGTCATGGCACCAGGTCCCCAGCCTCCCTGCCACTTTTCCCTTGAGGACCATGAAAACCCTCCACGAGGCAGCACATCACTCTCAGCGTTGGCAGCAGTGCCCTGTGCTGACAAGGCTCTGCACTGTGCCTGGGGAGAGGCTGACTGCCACTTTAAGGTGCACATGGGCCACCAGCAAACCGAAGCTCCATGCTTCTGTGTGCAAAACAGACAGATAATGCCAACTCGAAAACATGCCAGCTCCTCATGCCTCCTGTCTACTCTTCTCTGTGCTGAAAGATACTAAAGTTGCTGAAAACCAGCAAGCTGCCCTGGAGCAGAGGAAGAGACAGTGAAGGGAAATTGTTGCAGAAACCCACAAAGCACCGGTGGAAGCGGGACCACCCACTATTTCTGGGATGGTTTACATGCAGGAAAGTCTGGAGCAGAGGGGTTTTCCAGCCCCTTCCAGTGGACTAGCAACCACACAAAGAGAGGGGCACTCAGGGAAGCTGGCTTACGTGGGGCCATCAGTGATGAGGGCCAGGATGTGGCTCATGTCCACTGTGTATGTGTCCAGGTCAGGGTAGGGCAGGCTGTGTGGCTCTTCGCACGCCAGCATCTTCTTGTTATCATACACGAAGAGGATGCCTCCCTGCATGTGGACCAAGTAGCCCAGGTTGGGAGGAACATCATCCAAGCAGTAAGGGTCTTCCTGGGGCTTTGGGGGAGGGTGGAAATCTGAAAAACAGGGTTGAGTGATGACAAAGTGCTCAGAGCTCACATGGGCTCAGACGTCACCTTCTCAGTGAGAGCTGTCTGGCCACCCTCTAAAATTTACCTACCTCTCACTGGTGAGCATTCCACCTCACCCTTCCCAGCTTTACTTTGTCTCCAACACTCTGAAAAACTATTTTACTTCTTTGCCTTGTGTATTCCATGTCTTCCCCACTCAGATAGAAGCTCCATGTACAGGATGGAGATGTCAGGTTGTTTCATTTACTGCTGTTATCTCCACCGCGTAGAACAGTCACTGGCACTAAACTAGTGCCTGGCACATAGCCAGTACTGCCATCTTTTTTTTAAAAAAAAGTGAATTGCAATGGGCTTCATCTTCCACAGGATTCAAAGGGCAGCTGTGTCTTTTCCCGATAATGGAACAGACAGCACCTAGGGCTGCCCAGTAGGAATAATTGGCCCTGTCCTCCCACATCTTCCTGAGCCCCATCCCCAGCCCCTGGGCAGACACAAAACAGGGAACATCTCTCTACAGAGCAGGGAATGTCAATGACAGAACAGTCCGGCTCCTGGCAGTGGTTTGAGTTAGCCCATGGTGGTGGTTGGTGGTTGTGTGCCACCAAGATGGTTCCAACTCACAGGGACCCTGCAACAAGCCTCATCCTTCTCCCTGAGCAACTGGTAGATTCGAACTGCTGACCTTGCGGTTAGCAACCCAGTTCATAATCCACTCCACTGCCAGGGAACCTTGAGTTAGCCCATTTGTTGTTTTTAAGTACCGCAGAGTCGGTTCCAACACATAGAGACCCTGTATAGGGTTTCCAAGGAGCAGCTGGTGCATTTGAACCACCAACCTTGCAGTTCAAACCAACCTTGAAATCAAGTGCTTACCCTCGGTGTCACAACAGAACTCCGTGAGTTAGCCCACAGGGGGCAGAAAACGCCTCTCTGCTATTCCCCAGCTGTGAGCCTTTGGGAAAACCATATCACCCCTTGGATCTTGCTTTCTCATCTGAAGATAATGCCCCTGCCTGAAAGGGCTTGTGTACAGGAAAATGCTCTGAAAATAGTTAAGTCCCGCCACATAGACTATAGGGAGCCCTGTGTTGCAGTGGTTAGTGCCTGGCTGCTAACCACAAGGTCGGGGGTTTGAACCCAGCAGCCGCTCTGTGGGAGAAAGATGTGGCAGTGTGCTTCTGCAAAGATTCCAGCCTATGGGACAGTTGTGCTCTGTCTTACGGGGTTGCTATGAGTCAGAATCGACTCAATGGCAACGGATCTGGGTTTGGTGGGGGGCCTGGCTTGTTCTTATGAATTTCATAAGTTTTCTTGATAAGTTCTGTCCCTGGCCAAGGGATGAGGTGATACTTGATGGCAACAGAACTGGGGTTTTCTACTCTGCACATCAGCCAGCCTCACACAGCATCCAGCTGCCAAGCTGTGGCCCCGACTGCAGGAAACTGGGATTCTCATCAAGGGAAGCAACCAAGGCAGGTGACCTGCCTGGGCATCCTCCATCAGTGCCCAGAACAGAATGCCCATAAGGACAGATACGAGGTGTCACTGTGGAGCTGAAACAGTGCAGAACTGACCACTGACGTCCCTTCACAAGGTACAGACCCAGGCCAGCTCAGTAGGCCCTCATGTGCGCCAGGAGCCATGTGGGACCACCCGTGAGCCACAGAGTGACAAAGGCTTGAGTGAAGCCTCAGTCTGAACTCACAGTTTGCTCACCTCTCCTCACTCATGGTTAGAACCTCAGATACCTGAATAACATGTATATACTAGTCATTCCTGTCTGTCCTTGTTAAAGCAAGAGGGAGTAGGACCAACTTTCCTCAGAAACAAAGGGAAATGGAGTCAGAAGGCTGAGGCTGTTCCAGAGCCCCAGCTCTAATTCCAGGTCTCAGAGCTGGAGACAAGAGGACAACTTGGCATTACCCAACGGAATACCCAGACACAGCCAGGGTGTCTCAGGCATTGGCACAGACTGCTAGACCCTCATCAGTTCCCCACCAACTTTCAAGAGCAGGGTTTCCTGTTTCCCTCATTATGTTACTGACCCTACAGTCTCTACTGTTCCTGCATCCTTCACGGGCCAAATGGACTCTGCCAGGAAACCCTCCCTGCCCTCTCTGCCTCCCCTTCCCTAAACTCCACAGCATAAAAGCAACTATCATGTATTGAACACTCACTAGATGCCAGAACAGCAGTACGAATTCCACATGCATTCTCTTACTTAATCCTCACACAGGCCCAGGGGCATTGCCACTTTGCAGATTGAGAAACTTGAGTTGGAGAAATATTTTGCTCAAGGTTCCAAGAAAGTGACAAAGCCAAGATCTTAATGCAGATATGTTTTAACTCCAGCACCTACCTCTGCAACCTAGAAAATGCCTTCTGTCCTACTCTCCATTGCCACCCCCCCACCCCCACCTCAGCATTTACAGTCTAATCGTCTTGTTTTCATACTCCACACAAGACTGTTCTTCATCTCTCTAGTAGAGTCCCCAAGATCAAAGGCTGTCTCTTTCTCTCTTAACTTCTAGAATTCAGCTCTGTATCTGGGTGGTGGTGTGCGGTGGAGTCGGTTCCAAGAAGCTATAAATCTTTACCGAAGCAGAAAGCCTCATCTTTCTCCCATGGAATGTCTGGTAGTTTAGAACTGCTGACCTTGAGGTTAGCAGCCCTAATCATAACCACTACTCTACCAGAGCTCCTCTCTATAGGGGTAGGCCCATGATAAGCCAAACCTTGAGAAAAGTAACAAATATCAGTGTAGGGGAAGGTTTTAAAACACTGGGGGAAAGGCATCTAGCCAGCAGAGTCTTGACTAACTCTTGGGTCATGTCTACCTTTGGGACCCCACCTCCAAGCCACAGCACTGTACCTGGGAGGCCTTCTTCCAGAGAGGCAGTGTCAGCTTGCTGATGACCCAGGTACTGGGCCGTGGTCCTTGGGAAACGGTGATAGGCGAGCCGAGCATACTTCTCCCGGATCATGAGGGCCTTGGCCAAGCTCTTGGCGGCCTGCTCATAATCCTCCACCGTGATCTGTAGGAGGGAGGTGGGCAGAAAGGAGTCAACAACGCAGGCCTGAAGCTGCTCTCCTTAGAAAGACCTATTGCAAGGCTGACCCTTGCCAGGCCAGGAGGTTCCCATCATTCCTCACTGATGAAAGGGGCTCACTCTGCCTCACCTGCTTACATAAACACTATGGTTTATGCTTAACACCTGCTTTTCTTCTGGGAGTCCAGAATTTGGGTAGGTAATAAATAGGCAAGATTTAAAAGCCTTGGAAACCCTAAACAGGGTCATTATAAATTGGCAATTAAATAGCAACACTAGGCACAAGGGGCCTGCAAGACCAACCCCCTGTCACTGAGTCAATTTCAATTCACAGTCACTTTACAGGACAGAGGACTGCCCCATACATAGAGTTTCCAAGGCTATAAATCCTTATGGGAGCAGACTGCCCCATCTTTCTCCCAAGGAATGGCTGGTGGATTTGAACCACCAACCTTCCAGTTGGTGTTCAACACCTAACCCACTGTGCCACCAGGGGTCCTCCTACATGGCCAGTTCCCAGTGCACCTCCCTGGCATTTCATGGTACACATGTTGTCACAAGTCAGTGCCCGAGGAATTAGGTGCAACTGTGTGACTCCCTGGGAAAGGACTCTTGAAAACAGGGCCCAGGTTTCATCGGAGCTTCCCCTCCTGCCCTTGGCTGACTTTGCTGTGTGTCCTGTCGCTGTTGTAAATAATGGTCATGAGTAAATCCGTACGCTGAGTGCTGTGAGTACTCACAGAGAGATCTAGGGAGTGACCTTGAGGACCCCCAACCCAGGAAGAAAGTTAGGGCAGCTTGGAGGGGACAGGAGCTCCAGCCTGCACACCCAAACTGACAACTAAACCACCAACCTGCTGCTGCACCTGTCACAGGAAGGGACAAAGCCAGAATCACATCCCTTGATGAGGACGAATACTGTTGTTTTCAGTCAACACATGGGTCCTTCGGATGTAAAATGTCAAACAGAACAAAACAACACTTCTGTATGCTCAGCCTGCTGCTTTGCCAACTCCAGACTTCTGATTAAATCTGGGCAAATCACTCTGATTCGTCCAGTCAACAAACTCTTGTCAACATGTGTTATGTGCTAGCTACATCCTTCCCATAGCTTTCATTTCTGTCCTCAATGCTACTCACTTTACAAATGAGGAGACGGAGACCCAAAGACGATAAATACTTACCAGGGAGTCAAAACGACAGACTCTGATTTGTGTGCTTCCCCAAGCCCGTGGACCTCCCCCTTTCTCCAGCTGCCTCATAATCAGTGATGAATGAGATACGTCCCCACCCTCCAGGGAGCTCATTCATCTTAGCCTGTTTGGGAGGGATGAGTCTCTCAGAAACCTGAGTGTGTTGAGAGACAACAACTAAACAGTCACAACAAGGGATGGGACACAGCAGAAGGGGGAGCACAGAGTGGGAGTGGGCCTAGAAGCTTCCTCCCCAATTTTAATTTTAAAAAAATCATCTTTAGCTCCAAAATATTTTAAACATATAGACAACCAGTGAAGATAATATAAAAAGACACCTATGTCACCTACTAGGGTTGACAATATTAATACTTTTCATAATTGTTTCAGACCTTCTTTTGCTGTAGTTAATAAATGTCACTCACTGGCATCGAGTCAATTCCAACTCATAGCAACTCCTTATAGGGTTTATGAAGCTGTAATTCTTTATGGAAATAGAAAGCCTTTATCTTTCTCTCTTGGAGTGGCTGGTGGGTTTGAACTGCTGACCTTATGGTTAGCAGTCCAGTGCTTATCCTACAGCGCCACACCAGGCCCCATAGTAAATAGATACGTGCGTATACATATGCATATAACAAAACACGTGCCATTTCAACAGTTTTTCCAATTCAGTGACATTCATTACATTCCTACTGGCAAGCCTCATCGCTATCAGTTTGCAAAATGTTCCATCACCCTTAACAGAAGCTCAGTGCTTCCCAAGCAACAACTCCTTCTGCCCGCTCCAGAACATCTGTGTCTGAATAGTGATCACAGATGTACCTAAAACTCTACCCTCTTTCCCTGGTTGGGGGTGGGAAGGGGATTTAACCCATATTTCTGAACTTAAACAGAAAAGAAAAGCTGTATCAGCAATAACGGATTTCATACAACCATGACTTTGAATCCATGGTTTGAATTCTGGGCCTAGAGAACACACACAGCTTACAGATCACTGCCAGTTATCAGCCTGAAGTCTCAGGCCCTGCTCACAGGGATAGGGCAGCCCCTAGACACAGCCACACCCTACAGCCTCTCTCTCTAGATTACTGGGTCTCCTCCCAGACACCTCCCAGAGTGTCAGGCTTCAGGACTGAGCATGAGCCCAGTAACCAGAAGCACCACCACCTCACAGTCCCCTCCATTCCAACCCCTGGACCAATCAGCGGGGACCAGAGAGTGGGAGACACCTTACCCCAGCACAGTAATCCCCACTGATGGTAACCCGCTGGAACTCAGGCATGACGTAGGGCGCTGGCAGGGGCTGGGAAATAGTCTCAGTGACCTCAGGGGCTGCGCAGGGAGACAAGGCCGGACTGGCTGTAGGAGGGACCTTCCAATCTTGTTGTGCTGGCATTTGCAGTGACAGGGACTGAGACCGAATCATCTTGAAACTTTTCTTTCTACAAACCAAGGAGAAGGGGAAATGGGAGCCATCAGTTGCTAGTTGGGCAGAATTCTCTGGGCAGTGATAAAGAGCCACTGCTACACACACAGCAGGATAATTCTGCCATGATTAATCACGGGTGCAACCCCTACCATTAAGAAGGTTCAAATCATTTCTGCTCTCACTTTACACATGTCATTTGGGAAGAGACAGAGAACCGTCCTCTGTGTGTGCTGAGCTCACTAAGAGCATTATTGTTGTTGTTAAGTGCTGTTGTGTTGGTTCCAACCTGTATAGGACTTCCGAGAAGTGACTGGTGCATTTGAACCACCTACCTTGTGGCTAGCAGTCCAGTGCTTATCCTACAGAGCCACACTGGACCCCACTAAGAGCATTAGAGTAGGCAAATATCACAGAAGACAGGCAGCTGGGAGATAGACAGGCAAACACCTGCAGGGCCAGAGATGTGGGGATGACAACAAATGAGCCAGGCTTCCCTCAGAGTGCGGACAGTATCGATCTTCAAACAGCCAGCTGTGGTGGAGTCGGAACCAACCAATGGTGGCCTCATGTGTGTCAGAATAGGACTGGGCTCACAGGGTTTTCAATGGCTGACTATTTGGAAGCAGATCAGTAGGCCTTTCTTTCAAGATGCCTCTGGGTGGACTTGAACCTCCAACTTTTTGGTTAGCAGCTGAGCATGTGAACTGTTTATACCACCTAGGGATACCATCTACAGATGACCCAACACTAAGTCCTAATACATGAGCAATCTCAAGAGGGAATATTAACAAGGTCACAAAGAGACAATTACACTGTATTTCAGAGTAAGAAACTAGGGGCATTGAAGCCTAAGAGATTATATGAAGCCAAAGAGATTATACCAATCAACTAGTCTCAGACCTCATTGTTTTATAATGAAGGAGCCAAGAGCTCAGAAATGGGAAAGAACGTATACAAAGTCACTAAGCAAGGTGGCCACTAGACCCTGGCTTTCTGCCTCCCTGTGGCCCCTTCCTCAAGCCATCCTGGCTGGCCGCTGCTGGAGCGGGACACACATCAGGATCTCTGGTGTGGGGAGGGGATTGACCAGCATCAGTTTTCAAGTCCCTCTGATCTTGTCACCTTAGCACCAAAAGATGATAATGTCATTAACTCTTTGGAGAGATAGGTTTAAAATGCCAAAAGGTAATGTTATTTGCAAGGCTGTTTAGCAATGACTCCACCGTCCTCATTAACGAAATAGCACTATTTTAAATGACATCACTCTAAGTCTTAGAATCACCCAAGAAGGGAATTCACCAGCAGTGAGTGAAGTCATCAACACACCCATCTCCCATGTCTCTTTCTGCCTCTATATGGAACTCAGTCCCTCCGTGTGGCCACTCAATGGTGTCCAATGCCAGAAACCAGCTGACTACTTGTGTCACCTTATGTCGGAATGGCCCAGCAGCCTGCTGGTATTTATCCCACCCACAACCAAGATTTAAAGCTCCACACAAACTGTGACCCATCAGAGCCCATCAAACTCTTCCTCCTCTCTAGGCACCAAAGACCCTTACTAGAAACCAAGGTCTTACTGGAGATCTCGTACTCAAGAAATCAACTGATCATGGTTCATCTCAAAGCATCTGTCTTCCTTTGGCTCTTGGCCAGGCCTCCTTCTCACAGAATTGCTGCTGATTTTTCAGCTACCATAGTACTCTTCCCATTTTTACACCTACCCCTGGTCACAGTCCTCTGGTTCTTACTTGCACACCTGTTTAACCACCTCTTCAGGGTCACAATCGTTTACACCCAGAAGATGGAATCGGCCCCTTCTCAGTTTACCTTTGTCCTGTCTCTGGCTCTGCATAACAGATGCATTCAGCTGCTTCTGGGGACTTAACCTCTGCTCAGGGATCCTTCCCTAACCTTCCTCCCCTCCTCCTGCCCAGGCTTTTCCAGCCTGCCATCAATCAGATGGAGCTGAGTCAAGTACCCTGCCCAGAGGTGACACCAACTTATGCCATGCTATCATTCCTCAGAGGCAAATTTGCCTTGAGAGATGAGGTTCTCCCTTTGGCATTTTTGGATATTCACACCCACAGGATGAGCCATTAGTTTGGGTTTCTTGTCACATTCTGACAGGCTCTGCCATGTCCCATGAGTCTCTGGTTTCTGTGTCACTCACGTGCCTGCCACGTCACTGTTTATACTGCTCTGCCAATCTCACCCCTGCATGCCTTGGCTAGCGCAGCCTGAGGAGAAATACCAACTAAAGTCGAAGGCAAGAGGGAATAAAACACCCACCACGATCAGAGACTGCCTGAGCTAAGAAGCTACCAGCATTGTCCTGTTGTTGTTAGCTGGCATCAAGTCTGTCCCTGACTCATGGAGACCCCATGTGTTAGAAAGTACAACTGCTCCATAGGTTTTCTTCACAATACTCTTTATGGAAACAGCTGGGGTAGCAGCTGATTGCAAATTTTTGCTCCTAGCATTGTATTTGCAGATGGTACAACTTTGCGGACTGAAAGCGAAGAGGACTTAAAACACTGATGAAAATCAAAGACCACAGCTTTCAGTATGGGTTGCACCATAATGCAAAGAAACAAAAATACTCACAACTGGACCAATAAACAACATCATGATAAATGGAGAAAAGATTGAAGTTGTCAAGACTTCATTTTGTTGGATCCACTATCAACTATCATGGGAGCAGCAGTCAAGAAATCAAATGACATATTGTATTATGCAAATTTGTTACAAATGACTTCAAAGTGTTCAAAAGCAAGATGTCAGTTTGAGGACTAAAATGCACCTCACCCAAACCATGGCATTTTCAATAGCTTCACATGCATGTGAAAGTTAAACAATGAATAAGGAAGACCATAGAAGAACTGATGCTTTTGTGTTACAATTGTTGAAGAAGAATATTAAACATACCATGGACTGTCAGAAGGACAAACATATCAGCCAGAATGCTCCTTAGAAGTGGAACATATTGTCCAGTCTCTGGAGAAGGACATCGTGTTTGGTAAAGTCAGCAAAAAAGAGGAAGACCTCTAAGGAGATGGATTGGCACAGCAGTAGTAACCATGGGCTCAAGCGTGATAACAATTGTGAGGCTGGCACAGGTCCGGGCAGTGTTCAGTCTGTTGTGGGTAAGGTCACTCTAAGTCAGAAGTGATTTGACAGCACCTAACAACAATAGCATTGTCCTGCTAGGAGCAAACAATAGCATTGTCCTGGGGTCCTGTTGTGGCACTGTAGGATAATCACTAGACTGATAGCCACAAGGTCGGAGGTTCAAACCCGTCAGCCACTCCTTGAAAACCCTATGCACATGTGGCACAATAAAAAGAGAAATCACAGTCAATTATATCTGAATGTTAGAAAAATAAAGTCTCCAGCTGGAAAGAACCCTAAAGTCTACCCACCCCAGCCCTCTCGCTAAGGCGGCTTTTATGTGAACACCTTAGTGACAGAGAGCTCACTACATTCCTGAATAGGACACCAGCATTCAATCATTTATTCAACAGATAGTGACCAAGCATCCAGGCCAGGCCAACGCCAGCACACAAACACAAAGAACAAGACATGATCTGATGACACTATTAGAAAGCACTTTCCAAGAAGGGCCAAGATCCGTCTGTCCACACTCTCACCTCTACTCCTCATGCTAGCCCTGGCTACCTTGCACTTGGCTTCCCTTATGTGCTCCCTTCCACACATCCTCCCCCCACTCCCAAGTCTTCCTCCCAAGTCACCCAAAACCTTCAGTTATAATGTCTGATATGTATTCTGAATTCATGTCATGAATTCTGGGGCCCTCTTTGCTCTTCTAGAGAACACCACACAATTTCCAGAGATCCTTCAAAGCCCCATGTACTACACAGTCTGTCCAGCAGAACCTCCCGGCAGTAAGTCCAGAGCAAACCTTTAACAAAAGGCTCAAAAGCTGTAGAATGAGCCTGTGTGTTGTCCCACTGCATTCTACACCTACTGTGTGCCAGGCCTTCCTTGAGGACAAATGGGTGGATAAAAATCTAGTCCCTGACTTTGGGGACTGACTGTGTGATGGCATAGGTGGTCCCAGACAGTTCAGCAGAATGTTACGATGCAGGGTGTTCAGTAGGATGAGATGCTCTGGGTATTCTGTGATATCAGAGGAGACACCCAATCCAGACTGGAGGTGGGACGGTGCAACAGTAGGGTCAGGGGAGGCTTCTGCATCCTTCTATCAGTCAGCAGGAGAGAGGAACATTTAGAATGGGGAGACTTTCACACACACATATACACAAATGATTCTGGCATCTCTCTAGGTGGGAATGACTCCTCTAAAGGTTCAAGGCAGGAGTCCCATGATTTGAAATGTGAGTCTATTAGATGGGGCGGACCTTCTCTGCTCCCACCGGCTCTCCTGCTCTTACTGCTTACACTGTGCCCTGCACTGGCTCAGGTGTGTGTGGGGGGGGGGGGCACCTCTGGCCTAAGGGAGGGAGTAATTGAGGCCAGACGACGTTCCTTGCTTGCCCTAAAGGCAAACACATATAGAAATACACAGATATAACTGGCTGGTGCCTGCTACATGATCGCCATTTTGGCCACTTTCAGAAAGGCATAAAGAGGGTGCTGGGCCCTCAGAGGACACTCACCACTTGGCATACTTGGCCACTGACCAGGTGTGTAGCTTCATTCACACACCTTGCAGCCCAGTAGATGCAAACTCACAGCCTCACCTTGGCCTCTCCTCCCGACACTGCCCGCTGCACAGCCTGCCACACACCTGCTATCCCCACATTCCTTCCTTTTGTCTCCCTTCCCTTTACCTCCATCCCTCCTTTCCACAATCTTTCCCTACAGCCCTTTTTCCCCATAGACCCTAGCAGTTAACATGAAGCCCAATTTCTATCATCTTTACAAATGAGGGCTTTGTTTTGTTTTGCAATCATTACTTGGTGTTATTGCTGTTAGGTGCCATCAAGTTGGTACCGACTCATAGCGACCCTATGCACAATAGAACAAAACACT